GAGATGCAACAGTTCTAGCACGAGAGAAAAAGAAACTAATTCTTTACAAAAAAAGGGTAAGCGAAAACACACACACACACACACACAATGATAAATACAGAATATATGAAAGGTGTGATAGATTCGTGTAGTTAAGGGCAAAATGAGTGACCTTACTGCATTCCAGGGAGCCTAGCGAACACGATGGGGTCTTTACCCTACCAAAATCCACAATGAATAACTCAAGCGCTACCGAAAACACGCTTTAGGATTCTGATGCAGAAAGGTATTTGCAGCGAAGAACTATAGTGGATAATAGTAATCACTGGCGTTAAATGGTTAATTGGCACCGACTTGTCATCAGTGGGACAGCTGTGATGACGCCACCAGCTTGTCCATCATCAGTGGGACAGCTGTGAGACTCCACCAGCTTGCCCATCATCAGTGGGACAGCTGTGAGACTCCACCAACTTGCCCATCATCAGTGGGACAGCTGTGAGACTCCACTAAATGTGATGAAAGTCTACGACAGCGTCTTGATCTGTAAGACGATAATGTTGAATCTAATAACTGTGTTGTCTCTACCAAGAGGCGAGCTAGAGAGGACAAACACAGAAGAGGAAACTCAAGCATTGTCGCTGATTTCCCGAAAACTGACCCTTGTAAACTCAGAGAATTCCCTGCCTCTGTCTCTCTGTCTCTCTCTGTCTCTCTTTCTCATTTACACAGAGTTTTACATTAGGCTAATGGTTAATAACTTTATTTACAGGCAAAGAACTGTTACCTACATCAGCTCATTTTAAAGCCTTTTTAATATTATAAGATATACAAATGAGGAACAGGATGAAGTTGGAGCCATCTGTGGACTAGCGATTTCATTTGGTCAGCTGCCTTTATTTCGTTTATGTCATTATGCTGTAATAACATGTTCTAGACTCGAGTCATCCTAGGAATAAATGGTAATAAATGGTATCAGATAAAGTGATGTTCTGGAGAAGGGTACAGCCAAACTGTAGTTGCTGTTAGCTGCCCGTCTTGTTGTGTAGAAGCTCACTTCTCGCTGTCCTTGGAGTAGCCTCGCACCTAACACAGAGGAAAAGTTGTGTATAAAACCAACCCAGTTCATCTAGACGGCATTAATGAAGGGCAGATAATTTTAGAAGAGAGGCTAGTTTATAGGAAGGGAGGGAGATCAAATAGGGCAGATCAGTTCAACACAGCATAGTTCGAGCTATGCAAATGCAGTGGAACCCCGGTGTTTGATCTTAACTGGGTCTTAGTTGGTGTTCGAACTGCGAAAAGTTCGATATCTGAAACAGTATTTCCCAGTCTTTTTTCATCAGCCTCACACACAGAGGATGTTTGAACTGACTCTTCCAAAAGTCTCTGAAGTCAGGTCAGTGTATCGAGAGGCACATTCAAACATTTTAAAACAGCGTTTCATGTAAAGTTTTCTTACAACAGAATTTTTAACACAGTCATCTTTCGTGCTCCAGAAAAACTCAGAAGAACGGGTCGCTTTTCATGGACAAAATTGTCTTGACTCGGTGTGTTCAAGTCGGTATCGTTCGAACACGGATTTCCCTGCATATTTGCAATGTCCAAGTAGGTAAAAGCTGCTACTGAAAAATCTTAATAGGCGTGACACCAGCGTTGGCACTGAGGAGAACGGAATATTTAATAACGAAATGTCTGGCTCTCGTGCCAGCGATCTTGTAAATTAAAAAGTCTTACGTGACAACGAATAATTTTCAGGATAACTCTGAGATGCCCCTAGAAAAGACGACCCAACGGTGACGCTTATCATGACCTGACATGTTTGACTCCGACGATGACTAGTGAAAAAAAGTCACGATAAACGATTCTTAATTACATGTTCTCCGTTATCCACTGGATAGAGCTATCCGCGCTATAGCTCCGTAGGGTAGAAAGTTCGCCTGGAAAACTCCCTCTCTTACGGCTACAACCGTAATGGATGTTTAATAGAAGCTGGAATAATGCATCATTCCACGTATTGGCTCTCATGCAGCTGACTCCGTATTATCATGAACTTGTGTGATCGAATTGAAAGTTCAGGAGTAACGAGATGTGTCCCCTAATACCATACAGGCACCCCGAGCAGTGAACTACCTTACAAGAAATCCTCGAGCGGGTGAGGTGTAGGTACTTAGCTGAAGAAAAAAAAAGGTGGATTTATAAATTTCATAATTTACAAGTTTTCTATATACTGGATGTAGTAAATCCGCGGGTGCTATTACAGCAAAATGTGGATTGTTTAAGTCGTAGTCGAACGGGTATTTCAAAACTGTTTTGCTATTATGTATAAAAGACTGTAAATATGACACCATGAAGAACGTTTAAATGAAATTATGAATTGAATTACAAAAGTGTAAGAATTATAATAAAAAGATTATTTAAAATAATGCTGAAAATACATTTACGGAACAATATGAACTGACGAAGACTTTATAAAACAAAATGCATAAGAAAACTTAATATAATGATATCCAGAAGAAATCAAGGAGGCTGGTCAGCTCCTGAAGTACCACAATACTAGCAATAACTTACCGCATCATTATCTAACTCGGGTAGTAAACCAGACTAGGTTAGTATACTTAGCAACATCAAAACAATTGGTATTATACACCATTGTTACGCTTACTTAGCGAATTTCTTTAACTACTGAAACTGTGTAGAAACCGACTAGTTACTCTATACAAAGCAAAATGTATCTATCTTGAAGTAACACCAGTGTTAAGCTATACTTCAAGCAGGTTAGTCTAATTGTGTAGAACACAAAAGACAGTTGTATTTAGCAAATTAAATACGTAAGTTAACAGAATAGTTAGTAACTGTAGCAAATACTAAATGTGTAAGCACAATAGTTAGTATATTAAAACATTTATATAACTATAGTATGAAAAATAGTAAATACTTAGGCAACATTATAATACTTTAGTAAAAATATAGAAACTTAGAAATTATCAAAATCTAATGAAAAAGATATTATATAATATATGAAAAAATACATTGAACTTGGTAGTGAAGAACCAGACATACGCTATACTTACAACATATCTAACTCTGGTAGTAACACCAACTATTACGCTATAACTTAGCAACATTATCTAACTCTGGTAGTAACACCAACTAGTTACGCTATACTTAGCAACATTATCTAACTCTGGTAGTAACACCAGACTAGTTACGCTACACTTAGCAACATTATCTAAACTCTGGTAGTAACACCAGACTAGTTACGCTACACTTAGCAACATTATCTAACTCTGGTAGTAACACCAGACTAGTTACGCTACACTTAGCAACATTA